TTGTACCTTATAAGGTGAATGTTCACAATAAGTACATGTACCACATTGGTAGTTGATTCGCAATGCGATGAATCTCATTCCTGACATGTATTTAAACTTGACAATTATATTTAACTTGGTTTAACTTCCATTCTTCCACAAAATCAGATATAAACACTGAAAGAAGTCATTTTGTTTAAGATATTTTAGCATGTGATTTGTAATTTACTGATAAACTATATCTTTTGTTTTTTTCTCCAGGTATCTACTTTTCTACCATAAGAAAGTGTTAGAATATGACTAAATACCAAAAAGAATTGCAAAAAATGAATAGGTTTCACTATTTTCTTCATTCAATAATGCAAGATGTTTCTACTTGAACAAAAATGTTTATTAATTATTTCTAGAGGACTCCTAGAGATGTACGTTTAACTGATTATGTAGAAAAGCTTTTTTCTATGAAAAAAATATTTTCAACAATGATGTAAAAATATAAAATATTGAAATAGCTAAATAACAACAATAATTCTTCCACTGACGTATTAGACGTTTGTACTATTGCTAAGATAATTTAATTCTAGGTAGTTTAGGTCACCAAATAAAGATAATGATAAAAACTATTGTTGTAAAAAAGTGTATAATATTTACAATGACATTGCTTTTCTTCATACTTACATGTACTTTGCTATTTGAGAATAATTTTTGTTTTTAGAATATTATTTATTACATATTTCTTTCATATTTCAGTATCTTTGCACACAAATAAGTATGAAATAAAAATGTGAAAAATAAAAAAAATGACTAAAAAAWTTTGGGCTCCTTATTGTTTATCTCTTCAAAAAGACGAAAATAGCAAATCATTTTTATCMCCMCTTGKGAAGTCCASCTAGATATGTAMCTACCCATCCCTCCCCTCCCTGCTTCACTGGAAAGGATAAAATATGCCCATGCAAGGGAGGGCGGGGCAAACATACAGCAAACCAAGATTACCCAAGTTCCCATGCAGGTGATGCGGTTCCCGCGTTTACAATGAAAACTTTTGTGAATGGCGAGCAGTTAGTGTAGCAACAAGGGAAAGCATTTCCTACTTGAAAATAAGGCTAAACAATCATGAGTATAAGTAATACTGATCCAGAGAAACCTAATGAAGTCGCCCCGGCGGTGAAAAAACCCAGGTTTGATCAACTTCGTGCCGACCACGAGCTGTTTCTGAAAGCATTCGAGAGTGAGTTGAAGTTTGAAAGCTTCCTTTTTAGGGCGATCATTGCGTGAAATTGTTATGAAAACTACTTCTTTTGTCCAAACYTTCTGTTTCCATAGAGCCAACACAGATTTATCGATTTCTAAGGACGAGAAATGCTGTGCAAGTAAGTAAATTTAATATTTGTTCTACAATACGAACCTGATGTGACAAGAATGATTTTGTCTTTGTTATCGCATCATTAAGTTACATGTCCAAAGATAACTTAGTACTAAAATGAATATATACTTATCCTGATTAATTAAATCTCATATCAGCGAAAATTTGATAACTTAATGTTTTTTATTTTTGAAGCCGATCTTTCTTCACCGCACATTGTCATACATGAAGCATCTTCGCACTGCTCGACCCAATCACAACAAGTAAGCTAAAATAATTTCAGTTGTTGATATTTTATAAATGCTGAACACTTTGAGGAATAGTGTAAAGTATATCTGACAAGTTACTGCATTTATCTTCTGGTATAGTCACATCTAAATGTCTCGTATGCAAATAGAACAGTTGATCAATACACAAAAGGTTTTTTCTTATTTGCACGTGTGACTATCACGTYGAAGGAAGTTTTCCTGTTTTTATCACGGAAAGCGTTTTTAGTAATTGATTGTTATCACTATCATAAAGTTATTATCCTAATATGTCCAGGTGTAGTACTTGTTAGATATGTTGTTTTTATTTTCAAGAATGTGTAGTTTATGTTAATGAGTGTTGCTGGTGGTGTT